TTCAGCATCCCAGATTGGTCCTGGATCGGATACTGTAGAAGATATATCCTCTCTATCATTTGCACCTGCATTCCCCCAAGAACATCGAGTGGAAGGATCTTGAACGGTTGTTAACCCGGTCCATGCTTTGTCTGTTCTTGACTTTGACCTTGTTCTTGGCCAATTAGGGGTTGTAGACAAGGGTAATTGAGGGTGTATAACCTCTGGCTCGGTAGATGTAACATTGCTTCTGCCGGATGACAGCCTCTTGGCTTTTGGATCTATCCCACGGACGTATTCAGATGGCTCTGTGCTGGCATGGGTGCTGCTGCCAGTGTCTAATTCCCCTCCGGACATTCTACTAGGAGTCATTATCGAGTCAATACTCGATAAACTGGATGCTCTAGGCATTCCTTCTTTGCTCGATCTCCTCATTATATCCATGTAAAGATCTTGCATGTGTTGAACTTCCTTTTCAGGTCCATTTTTCCCTTCATCCTCTTTCTGTGCTGGAAGATATTCCACTTCGTAGCTATACTTTGGCAAACACAAGAACTTGAGAAATCCAGCAACAAAGTAACGCAACGGGCCAAACCGCTTTTGGTATTTTTCAGAGAGTTCCAAAACTGCAACAGACAGATAAAAACACAATTGTAGACGTTGATTAAGGGGGGACGGAAACACCAAGAAGCACACAAGCTGTATACCAATAAATGTTACGACACAACCATGCATAAATGCCCTAAAGCCATAGCCTGCCTTAATGGATGAAAAACATGTCAAAAGATCATATTCCAGACAGAAATTTCCAACCTTATAACCGGTTCCAAACTCTTAATTTCATCCATAATATATATCAATTACCAGGCTTGTTTCAGCTGTCAAATTCATCATGAGAAGATAATGCAACAAAAATCCACGTCTGGAGTCAACATAGAATTCACTTAGAGATAGTAAATGTAGTAATACTGCAAGTAGAAACAATAAATCACATTAACGCACCAACCTCCAAGGAATATTCGTCAAATTTGCCCTCAAAATGCCAAGAAGGAAACAAACAGTGAAGGAAAAAAGGAAAGAGCCAAAAGCCAGAAAAGCATAACCAAACCCAGACAAATGAGAAATTGTATGCAAGGCTGCAAGGCCTTTCTTTCTGGACAAAGCACCCAAGCATTCTCACTTACCATCGCTAACAAAACCATAGTAGGAGACTGTCATTCCAAAGTGAATAACACCCGTTTGAATCCACTCCACAGCGAAGACATCAGTAGCAGTTAGACCACCCTAAACCAACAAATTCCTTCATGCTGAGCAAACATAAACTGAGTACAAGGTAAACAATGCAACTCACAAGTTTATCTTTTTAAATCAAACAAATTGACTTTCAGGTGAAGTTTCGGACGGCATGTAGAGCTCCCGTTGAACACATCAGAAAATTAAAACCAATGCTCTTGAAGATACAGAACATTTGGTGACCTGCTGATTATAATCAATCAACACTCATGAAAAATACTTTTATGTACACAAGACAACAGGTTGATACATATCTTACTCGATGAACAAGAAGCTAAATTGATTAACATGTTATGTTCATTATTCCAATAGAACGTCTAACATATTTTCACAAAAAGTAACCTGTTCCTCTAAGTCCGCACATCACTGGCTCTACATCTTACAATAACTTGAATCAAAATCCAAACCTAATAGAGAAATGTCAACAATTAAACAGTAGCGCAAAAAATGAATAAACAGTTACACAGAACAACAAAGAAAATAACGCACATAGGCACTACACGCAATTAGCCTGGAATACCTTCACAATTGAAATGGCGGCAGAAATAGGATCTCTAACACCGAGAACAGTCCAAACTAACGAGTTGTCAGACCCAGCAGGTATTATTCCAATCGGGATAGAAATTCCTTCTTTCTGGTTGCTTCGAGAGAGTAGACCATTAAGAACCTGTGGCATTGGGAACCATAAAAGCACTAAGAGCTAATTCCATATATATATATATATAATATTAAAGAGGTTAACATTAGATACTGTTCGCACCCTATCCTACCAAATCAGTTCTACATAAACGGGAAACAGGACACGGAGCTCTCATGACTTTTAAAGCAAAGATTAGAACAAATATACTCCAATAAGATGTTGTGGAGTTCACAGTTATGAGCACAGGTTGTTTGCATGCATTGGCATTCTTCCAAAGTGAAGCATAAAGAGCCCACCAAACTGAGCCAATACAATTTCTTTTATTCTAATATGAAAGTTGATTCAATGATAACCGATAAAGCGGTGTATATAGAACCTCTAAAAACAACATAAATATAATATGGTACACACGACATCCTTCCATGAACCTAGCCTAAAAGAAGATCTCAATGCATAACAAAGGATAACTATCAGACCTCATTAATGATCCCATCACCTCCAACACAGATTATTCCTGGAAGAATAAACAAAATTTGATAAGGCATAACAGAAATGATGAAGATTAAAAAAAAAAGAAATATGAGCTAGATATGTGAGTATGTCATTAAGTGATGCACCGAGTAGCGGTACCGTCTGGGCATGCACTGATGTCAACAGTGGAAGCCAGCTCTCTTGCATGACCTGCTTTAGTTGTTTTCACCACCTCCAACTTAAATCCAGCAAGCTGTGTAAATTTGCAACAACGTGCACAATTGTAAAAAACAAGAGTAGAAAAAAATTACTATCGCAAAATGGGATTGGAAGGAAGGAAGTGTTCTCAAGGGTATCGATAACTTCACTGTGACAAACTAGATAAGTTCCATCACTTTAACAGTTTTGTGCTATTACTTGGATTGAATTAGACCTCACAATGATGCAATCCTACATCAAATCAAAATAATGAAATAACAGCAAAAGTACCTTGAAAATTGGTTCCACTATGTCGTGGAAAACTTTGGAAGATCGTCCATGCCCTGACCGAGGGTTTAATATGACAAGCATTTTGGGTGGGCTCTTACATCTAAAGATCAGTTCGGGAGGAGTATCAATGGGGACAGGAAATAGCTCAGATGAAGCTTGTTTCTTTGAGGAGACTAGTGGATGTGGCAAACAGTTAATAAAACACTGTTGATCTGCAAAACTTGCTACCCATTGAACTGCTTCTTCTATTGTGGGTGCCACAAAGCGGAAATCCTTACGACTTCTCTTCGGCTTCATGAAACAAGAGAGGCCACATGAACCCTTTCCAATAGGATAAGCATGCAGGGTGAAATGCCTGAGACCAATATTGTATGTTACCTGTCAACATCAGAGAAAATCGCTAGTTTGTCAACTACTCTTCACAATAAAATGATTTTCATGGTCGGTTACTATTTGGAGAAAAAAATTACCGATACAACATCATCAAGTT